GCTGCATAGCGTGCAGGACAGAGATTTGGAGACATGAGGATGCAGGGATGGAGGAGGGGGAGAAGGGGACCTGGTTGCTGCAGGAATGGAGAATTAGAGCTAAAAATTTAATCCTTGAAATTTTCGGTCATTCAATTCGTATCGACCTTAAAACAACTGTGCTGGGAAACAGGATTGTTTTGAGGGCAGATGCTATCCCGAGGCACCATGAGCAGTGGTACAGCTCCTCACACCTTGAGCCACAGTTTTAAAAGAGATCTCAGTGTCAACCCTGCAATAGTGTTTTCCATAGCAAATAAACCTGTTTTCCAGTGAATGGGCTAAGTTTCTTTCCAAAGTCAGCCAAATATAACTGATAATTCCTGATCCCACTTTTCCCCTACCTGTGTGTTTCTCAGTGATGATCCGCTTGAACCCAGCAGTTTGGTAGATTTGGTTTTGGCAGTTTGGTAGGTTTGGCTTTCTTTTTCTTGGTATTCTTGTGGTTTCCCAATGGAGACTTGCCATCTTTTTTTTTCTAATTGTGATTCCCTTTGACAGAAGAGCAAATTCACCCCAAATTCCCCCCATGGTATGTGATGTACCTGGGGTGCAGAGGGAAGTGAGCAGGAGGGAGATGATGTGTGATAGCTGCAGGACCGAGCTGCACGAGAGGAGATGCAAAGCCCCGCTCTGCAAGAGCGACCAAAGGAATTTACAGTCTCAGGGAAGCAGGATTCATTAGGACATAAATGGGAATAAATCTTTCCAAAGAGAATTCAAAGAGATAAGAGAAGACAGAAATGGAAAGGGTTTATGAATGAATCTCCTCTCACCCATCATGTCTCTGCAGGCATGTTCACTTTCCCTGGTTCAGTTTATTTCACTCAGGGGCTTTCTGCGTGGCAACAAGATCTGTACTTATTTTATGCATATGCTGGAGTGCATATTTTTTTTTTATCTTTGCAGCCCTTTGGATGCCTCTCAGACCCCTTTTTGCTATTTTTTGCCACGCTGATACTTCTCTCTTCCTCTCCAGGCTGCATCCCTGGACTCCTGCCTCCTCTCTTCCGCCCACTCTGGGTAATTCCCTATTCCTGAATCCTCTCCCTAGCTGAGCACTGCTTGACACTGATGGCCAAGGCTTGTGCCTTGAGCTGCAGACGATGTCAGCCCGCGCTCGGACCCATAGCAAGCCCCAGAGCCACCACCTCAGCTGGGATGCATCCCCCAAGAGCCCCAGGCTGACTAATACAGTATGATACCCACAGTACTGACCATGCAGTAATTCCTAGAAACCCCAGAGTTGTATTTGCTTTTGGAAAGGGCTTTTGAGGGATTTAATATCTCTGCAGCATGGTGCAGTCATTAAAACTAGGCACTTTATTTAAAAGGAACCCTCTTCAGATGATACCCTCCCAGCCAGGTTGGGGCTTTATTTTTGACATTCTTCTTTAGGCTGGCTTGTCAGTTCCTTTTTTTGCTTTTTTAATTTAAGCTTCTTCTTTTCTCATTTAAGTTTCTTCTTAGTATTCTTCAAGAGGGACCACTGAGCAAACCCCTGTGGAAGCAAGGGAAAGGCAGGGCCCAAACAATCAGCAAAAAGGGCACAAAAGTAAAAGTATGCACTTGAAAGAGCTATATACAAAATCTACTTCTGTGATTTTTCAGGAGTTCTTGCAGCAACAAAGGCTGCTCAAAGGGATGCAGGTATCTCATCCGTTTTTTGGCTAAAATATACCTCTCCAGCAAGAGTTGGTCTGTAGCATGAATTGGAAACTCTGGCAGAGCTCTCCGTCTGTGCACTTGTTTACTGAATGTGGTGACAGGACTATCTTGGCTCTCGTCATGAATTAAGACAATTTTGATGACCATTTTAACTCTAGTGACAGGAATTCCTCCATCTACCCATCATCTACCCTTTTGCCTAGGGTCTGTTTGACAGGCAGAGCACATGATCCTCAAAGCTTTTACTGAGGCTGTCTTTGAACACTAAAAAGCAAAAAAATATACCATGCAGGCAAATACATGCTGGTACCAGCAGGAAACCTAAAGCAAGAAAGCTATGCTTGTAAATTTGATTTGAATGGAGGGCACAAGAGGAGGTGGTATTTCAAGTAATGTCACTAGTTATTACTATTCAGTAACAGTCAAGGGATTTCAGGGATGTCTTTCCTCTCTGTGCAGCAAAGGGAATGTAGATTGCCATAAATGCTGTTTTCAGCATGTTAGCTGCAGAGGATGGATTTAGGTTTGATTAGGTTATGAGACACTATGGTCAGCAACCAGACTTGGTGGAGCCGCTTCGTGGAGCCTGTCCTAGATCTGTGCATGGTAGATGCGATATTTTGTGTGGAGAGAAAAGAGTGGGTCCCTTTCTGTAAGAGGGACTGTGCATGTTTTCTTCCTTATATTGGTTCCTCTCACAGGGTAATAATACAGGCTGCATTTTTTCATGCCTGTCATAGAAAATATTTGTAAAACCTTCCAATTAGTCCAGCAGTGATGTTGTGCAATGTCATGTCTTCTTTAGACCTTATTATTCTTATTCTCCTCAGTGTGACATTCTTCTTCCCTCCCATCATCCTCTTTTTTCCAGCTAATGCTGAACAACCTGTGCTGGACTGAAAGCATCCCTAGTATTGGCTACTACACTAAAATCATTGTAATAAGACTATTGTTATTTGGCATAAATGAAGAGAGTTCAGTTCATAGAGAGGATTTTCTGCATCTTCTTTCACATAGTGTTAGAGACACATCCTAGGTTATTTCAGATGTATTTTAAGGACACTGACTGCAGCACACAAGACCATGAGTCTGGAATGACTCACCGCTGTTTAGAGCTGATGAACTTCTGTAATGTGTGAAGAGGTGGAGGGAAGCAAATTGTTGTTTTGGACACATATTATCGTTTAGACGACCTGCTTCTTAATCTGAATCATCAAAACGGAAAAGAAAAATCAGATTCATGGTAACAGATGACTGCCACATAATGGAGGTAAAGAGTTTAAAAAGTGTTATCTGTTGAAAGGAAGTGTTTCGTACAGGAACATGATAACTCAGCTGCAGATCTACCATAGCATCCACCAAAGTGGTGTTTATGTAGCTCTTTCCTCCTCCTGCTTGACTTTAATAATGCATAGTCCCATACCTAAGGGCAAAAAGCCCTCTTCACCACCCCAACCCTCAAATTACTGCATGAAAATATGGAAGGAAGAAAGAAGGAAGGAAGGGAGGAAGGAAGGGAGGAAGGAAGGGAGGAAGGGAGGGAGGAAGGAAGGAAGGAAGGGAGGAAGGAAGGGAGGAAGGAAGG